CGTACCTGCGAGTGCGCGTCCAGCCCGTCACGGATCCGTCCGCACGTCGATCCGCGACCGTACGCCCGTTCCATTAGCCCAGCTCTCCCCCGCGTCTGTACAGGCGAGTCTGCATGCGCGTCGCACAACCCTGCTCTCGTCCATCTGTACGCTCGCGACCCTTCTCCCGTACAGCACAGCCGCGCGAGCTTAACCCACGTCCGTACGAGCCCGACTCCGCGCGCAGGCCCCGCATCCCATCCGTACGGCCGTCGTCCAGCCCAGACCTTGCACCGGCTCCGTGACCAACACCCCAAATCGAGCCACCGTTCAGATCCGACCCGATTCGAGAGTCGATCCATTTCACTAGCCTTCTTCGACTTCCAATTTATCCGATTCGAGCCGATTTGAGGTAAAATGGCTTGAAATCGACTACAATGGCTTAAATATGTTTATTAAGATGTTATAAAAATGAAAATTTGAGGATTTTAGTGAGTATTAAATTAATTGGAATTTTTCGAGCTTTTTATATATATGCGATTAAATGGCGAATCAAATCCTTTCATTGACTTGAGGCTTAGGATGCGGGTCGGGAAATTTTCGGGGTTTGTTTGATAGATGAACGAGACTTTTGAAGTATTTGACCGGTTAATGCGATTATTTTTTTTATCGATAAATGTATATATAGAGAAAAAAGGATTTTGGACAACCGAAAGGTGGCGAACAAAAGAAAAATGGGCAACAACAAATCGGCTCCTCATTTGCAATAGAAGAAAAGCGAGGGGAACCACAGATCGGTTGTTCTCTCCAAAATCGTGAAAAATAAGGTACAGGGTCCCAAGGGACCTCAGAAACATGGACGGCTTGGTGGACTCACGCCGGTGGACGCATGCAAGCAAGGGAGCAGAAATGACTCTCAAAGCCCAAGACTCCTCATCTCCAATTCAACAAGCACATTTGGATAGGTTGAAAAAATAGTTCGGTAAACATGTGTTTTTACCTTGCGGATTACGAGACTCGGGGCTTGGTATTCGTTCTCAAACACCAACCGATTCATAGCATTCCAAATGAAGTACACGGTAGACACTAGCGCCGCTTTCTTCAACTTGGTTTGCCAACCACTCCCTCTCTCCCCCTTCTTGGTCCATTTGAGAGCACCTTTTAGGGTGGACGGCCGAGGCCGGAGGTTAATCCAAGAACGGATCGCCTCCCAAATCTCTGAGCTAAAGATACATTCAAAGAATAAGTGGCTCGATGATTCATTTGCAATTCCGCAAAGACGGCATACCGGATCTACGTCGAGGAAATCGAGTCGATCTCTTGTCCAGAGTCAATTTAGCACCCCCAACCAAAGGATGAAAGAGTGTTTTGGGCTATTGCATGAGCCTCAAATGACCACATTCCATGGCACCTTAGATCCACTAGGCCTTAGGAAGTCATAGCATTTGCTAGAACCGTCTTGACCATCCCAAGTTTTCCACCCTTGAAGAAGGGTTTTCCCCACCACGCTCATTCCCTACCTTTTCCACCAAGACTTTCCGAATCTCAAATAGGGTTTTTAAAAGAGGCGAGTCACTTTATTTGATTTGCCTTTCCCAAATGGAGCTCCCTTTTAAGTAGATATTGTGGATCCATTTGTGCCACAAGGTGTCTTTCTTAGCTTGCATGTTCCAAAGCATCCGGGTGAGCAACGCTTGGTTCCACGCATTCAAGTCTCTAAGCCCCAAACCACCTTCCAACCGCAGCAAACATAGGCTTTCCCGATCCACGGGAGCATTCTTCGAATTGAACCCCAAAGGAACCTTCTACATAGTTGGGTGATTTTTGTTCGAACTATGTCGGGCAAGTGGAAGATCCCCATACAAAATCATACAATGCCTTGTATTACCGAGCGAAGGAGTTCTAATCTCCCGGCATAAGAGAGTGTTTGCCCATTCCACCTGCTAAGTTGCCCCTCGATTTTCTTAATCAAATCATCAAAGAGCCTTCCGGTGATTCGGTCCACGGAGAGATGGACGCCGAGATACCGAAAGGGCATTGAGCCACATCGCAAGTTGGTATCATCGAGTATTGTAACCCGAATATCGTCCTTGACCCCAGTCAAGTAAATATTGGACTTTAGCACATTCATCTCAAGCCCCGACTTAGCTCCAAAGTCCTTAAGACAATCCATGAGAATTTGAATTGACGGAGGGTCTCCACGAGAGGGAAGCATGAGTCATCGACAAAGGCAAGGTGCAAGATTTTTAAATTTTTGCACATCGGATGGTAGTTGAAGTTCGTGCTGACCATCGTGTTGCTCTTAATATGCCAAGAGAGGTACTCCATACAAATCACAAAAAGAAAAGGTGATAGGGGGTCACCTTGACTTAAACCTCGGGCTCATTTGGCTTTTGAGGCTCCAGATAATAGATAGAGAGTAGGAAAGAGTGGTGACGCACTCCATGACCCACCTCGTAAAGACCGGGGGGAAGCTGAGTCCATTGAGCACTTGCTTTAAAAACGACCAAGAAATGGAGTAGACGCTTTGTGGAGGTCGATTTTGATAATACACCTCGGGGAGACACGTTTCCTCAAGTAGAGATGGAGCAATTGTTGCATGAGGTGAATGCTGTTCGTAATGCTCCTCCATTTCACAAAGGCAGCTTGAGCCTCGTCAATGATAGAGCCGAGGACACCGCTAACTCAACTAGCTAGGATTATGGAGCATTTCTTGTAAATTGTGTTGCAACACGCTATTGGCCGAAAGTCCGTAACATGCGAGGAGTGGGAGGACTTCGGCACAAGCGTGAGGGCCGTATAGTTCCATTGCTTGAGGAGCGAGTCGGAGTGGAATAAATCTTGAATCGCCGCCACCACATCGACCCCAACGATGGACCAACTCTTCAAAAAGAAAATAGAAGTGTAGCCATTCGGGCCCGGGGACGTACCACCTTCAATGTCTCTATGTGTGCTCTTGATCTCATCCTCGGTGACAGGGGCAATAAGAGGCCTACATTCGTCAACTCCCACACTCGGTCCTGACCGAAGAATTTAAGGGTCAACATCCTCCGTTTTGACACCGGTTAACATCCTACAATCGTCAACTCCCACACTCGGTCCATGGCTTTTTGATGAACATCGGTTTCTGTTCGATATTCGGTGCAGAACTGTGGGGTTTGTTCCAGGGCTTCGCGTTGGCCTGAGATATGGTGCTCGTACGATCCAGATTGAAGTCGTCAATAAGAGTACCATCGAGATGTTAGAGCTACCACATCATGACGGGAGGATGGTGGCCTATTGAAGGGCATAAAAGAGATGTTGGGTCGACCTATGGCGATGGTGATTAATCAAGGCTATCGCGAGGCCAACTTTGTAGCAGATGATTTGGCTTCCTCGGCATCAAAGGGTCCGGGTGGTTTCCAACAGTTGGCGAGCCCTTCCCTGGGGGCGAGTGTTTGGTTACACCATAATAGAGTTGACGTGTCCCACCCTCGGTCGATTCTAGTTTGGGCTCTACGTAGCCTTCTTTTCTTGCACAAAAAAATAAATAAATATTACATGGAACCATCTATTATTTAGGTACTTGCGAAGAATTATATCATTGATTAGTCAAAAAAAAAAAAATTATGTATCAGTTGTCTAATATTGTGATTTTGCACGTCTAACTTCTGGCACTTATGCATTTTTAGACTTATTTGATACTATGATCGACTCTTCTGTTTTGATGTGAACATGTTTTCAGCTTCTTTAGGAGTTTTTCTCGCACATGAGGACGTGTAGACGCATAGACGTGGGCTAGATGAAACATTCATTCGGCAAAGCATGGGGCGCCAATACTGGCCCAATAAGGCCCCATCCATAAAAGTTGAGTGAAGAGAAATTGGCCCAATTATTATGTGCACTAGGAGTTGGCCCGAAATCCTGGAAAGGAATTATAGGAAAGAGAGAGATTAGGGACAAATGAAGACTTGAGAGGAGATATAAAAGAGTCATATGTGAATATAACAAAAGGGGTAGCAGACTTGGACATAGATACAAAGGCTTGGAGGAACAAGCAGCAGACGTGCAGGATACTTGGAGATTAGAGAAGAAAATATTTTTTTTTTTCTTTCTCTTGTAATTAATTTCATGATGATGTTTATGAATATTATACATGGCTAGTACTTTATTTTAAATTCTAGGGAAGCGGATCCCTACGACTTGACGATGTCTGAATAGTTTTTGTGGTAGATGATTTTATTAATTTTATGAAATTGCGTGTGTAATTTGGTTGATGGATTAAGATTTATAGTCTTATTTAAATTGATCACCTAGATAAGACTTTTCATATCTATAACTAAAGCTAAATGTTGAATCCATAATTGATTTTTCGTTTGATTAGTTAGTAGCGAACAATAGCCGGAAACTGTAAAAAATAATACGACCTAATTAAGTAGACAGAGCATCTCAGGTTACTACTTAGACTAACCTATTTTTACTAGATACTGAAATTGCAACTGAATTAAATTTAAATAGCGTGTTCCAGACTGTCTAGTAATTACGTTAAATCGAAGAGCGTGTTTTGGCTAGACATCTGTAAAATTCTGCGGATAGAAGAGCGTGTTGCTATATAGGGTTGGTAATCCTAGAAGAGAATGAAGTTTGACAGTTTTGCTATAGAGTCATCGGATGACACGAATTATGGAGTCATCCATACTTATTCACAATTAATGTATTGACATATGTCCTACAATAAATATACTTTGTACATGTGTCAATACATTAAGTGATGGATGTCTCCATAAGAAAACCATGCGATGGCACCACAGAATTTCTGTGAAGTTTGATATCAAAATTAATTCGATACGTAATTGTAAACTAGAATTTTTCTTATTTATTTAACTCGTCATTTAATTTGTACTTAACCAGGGCCGGTCCTGCACATTACAAGTCCCTGGGCCAAGCACGCACGATAGGCCCTGGGCCAAACATGAAAATATTTCCACAATTTTATTTTTTTTACTAATTTATTATACTTTTTGAATTATTTTTTTTTGTGAAAATCGAGATCAAAGTAAAACTATGAATAATTCATTCTTCAACGAGTCATAACTGAAAACATAATAAAATTTAGAAATTAAAAAAATAAAATAAAAATCAATCATTCATAAACAACAGAAATTAGTATATTTGTAATTAAAAATAAAAAACTTCACAAATGTGCAAATAAACAAATATTCGTAAGTAATTAATGACATAATTTTATATTTTATAAAATGATGTGGTTCATATAATATCAACAATGATTCGATAAACTTTTTATAAAAAATTGAAACACTTTATA